TTTCTCTCCTAGCCACTAGGACGGGACACGGTGACAGAGAGAGTCGCGGAGGGAGAAGGAGAAAAGGCTCGGGAAGAGCGAGAGAAGCGGGCCGGGGTGAAATCGCAGTGTCATCTGCTGGCGTAACCTGCGGCCAAGGGTGAAGGGCGCATGTGCCATCGACACGGTCGACGATGGTCCGCGAACACGATTGGACGGACCAGGGACCAGCCTCGACCGTCTATTTTTCACCGGCGCCACCGCTCTTAGTTTTGACCGATGATGCATCCGCGAGTAGATTCGCCAACTGCCGGATAAAAGCTCGGTCGGTGCATTTCGGGCGAGCGCGCACGCGAACGCTCGCGGCCTCTCGCGACAGAGATCAGCTTTTAATGCCTCGTCGAACGATTGCAAGCGCGATGGTTGTCCGAGACGTTCGTTGACCCTCTCTGTGTACCGTTCCTCGGCGGCCTTGTGCAGGTCTGTCCCTTGGGATAATCTCTTTTGAAACCTATAGTTTTCCCTCAATAACTTTCTCAAATTCCGATAGGTCTTTGTAAAATTCGACAATAGTTCACTTCTCAGAGGATATTTTTCCTTCGTATTACCTTTCAAATTGTTACGGAGGCAACAGGTTCACAGGTCGATCGGCAGCTTTACAAACAATTGACCGATGTTATTGCCACGAGGAGCAGTTTTGTTTCTCCGTGTTTCAATTGGATTTGTTCGTCGCGTGACTAATTTCATCGAACGTTAAATGAAATTTTTTGTAAAATAAATCGTACGTTTAGCTTTTCTGCGACATGTCGTTGGAGTCACGTGCTTATTTCATCAGAAATAGAATGGCGAATAGTTATTGCGAGCGAGGTCAATGCTCGGTGTATCTAAAAACTGATAGAAAGATTTTTATTATTATTTATTATTTATTATTATTCGTCTTATTTCCCGTAATTTACGATCGAATTATATATTCTTCACTATCTTGTTTACAAATATTGTAGAAAAAATATAAATAATAATTAGCTATATGCAGCGACGAAAAAGAGTATCGACGGAGATTACATAGCTATTCTTGTAAAATCCTATACGAAAGTCTGGTTTGTGACAATGCTTCGTCGCTGTATATTTTCTTGATGTTATTAATTCGACTTAAGGTTCATCTTTATGGAACACCCCACGAACTTCTTATTTGAGAATTTTCGATTGACTTTGAAGAACGTCTCATCGATTGTTCCCTTAATTAAACGCTGATCGAACGAGCAATTGTTCAGCGAATACAGCGGTTTGCGTAGCATATACGTTATCTGAAATAATGCAGCGTCGCTGAATGTTGAGTGAATGGAAATTTTTGTTTAAATATTAAAAACTATATTTATACGATGCAGGAGTTTAAAGACTTGTAATTTTTCGAATGGAACACGTAGATTTTGTTTGTACAACAAGTTTTATGCAATTTTTATGAACACGACTAAATAAATGAAAATTTATTTCCTATCAGATAATATAGCGAGTACGTACCTTTACCTTGAACAATTTTTACGTTTCTGCGCGTTTAAATTTCTCACAAATGCAAAAAGATCTCTCTTTCAACAATGCAATTTCTATATCCTATTAGAATCCAAATATCTTTTGAAGTTATGAAATTTCATAATGAAAAAATTGGATCTTGAAACATAGAAGTTGAAACTGTGAAAGACAACGAAACTATTGGAAATAGATATTCGAATCGTTGCGGTGCAACTATTCACACTTGGAGAGTTTCGAGAGTCGCAGGATCAGGGAACTTTTCGATTTATGGATTCACGCTATGGTTAGATATTAATGGTGGAAGATGGAAGAGATCGAGGAGATTGCGTAAGCTCCAATAAATTCGAGTGTTTTAAATTTCAGGCGAACCGAAAAGATTTTCTATGAATTATTATTTTTTTATTATTATTTTCTTTTTATTATTATTACATATCGCGTCTATATACATCTACGTCGTATCAGTAATATCGTAAAACATCTGCGTACATGTCGTTTAATTAATAAATACGTTTTTTAAATGTCCAATAATCCTGTCCTGTCCAATAATAATGTCCTCAAAGTACATCAAAGTACATCACCGTAAAAGTAAAATATGTAAGAACTAAATACCTTCCACGTCATAAATATTTCACTTCTGAAGTGTAAAGATTACCTTCCAAACCTTTGCACAATTGTTTCTTACTGACAGATATGCTTTCTTTCTCTATTTAACGAGCCTGGGTAGACCTGGTCGGTAGATTAAAGCGCTTACCGTAAAGATACATATGCCATACTTTAATTGTAGCCGACTCATAACTGTTTTACGTTTAAGTCTCATTTCTTTCAGGTACTTGCCGAGACCCAGTGACCTGCCTGTTCATTGTTGCCTTTTCATTCTTAGCAGCTGAGAAAGTAATTTTGCAAGAAGTGAAAGTAATTTGCAAGAGTCTCTTTATGAAAAGAAAAATAGTTTTATTTGACTATATAAATTTAAGCTTTCAGCAATTTCTCGTTTTGTACTACGATTTACGTCCAATTCCTTTATTCGATCTGTGTCGTACTCGACTTTTCTCCCAAAACGTAATGCAACTTTGAGATCAAAATTTCGGAAATCAATTCCGACATTGGCGTAATACATTCCCTCCATACACGATGTACAATTTTTCTCTTTTTTTTTTTGTTTCTGCCGTATTTTTATCTTTACGATAATGAAAATTTTTATTCTATATTTTCGACTTCTTCTTCCGCGTAGAATCACCCCCTTTCCGCTTGTACCACCAGTTACCAACCACCCTGTATATGAGATATCTTTTCTTATTTCCATTAGGAATCGCAATATTTTACCATATTTATATACAATGACTTACGAAAGTGCTTGAGCATTCGCTACAGAAAATTTTTATAAACAAGTATATTATGCGGAAACTATTATATATACTATATTATACACATATATATATATATTATTCTGAAACTTTATTAACATTGCAATGAAACACGATCATCGTGATTGTATTAGTGAAATTTGAAACCAATTCGAAAATATATATAAAAGATTGCAAGGTATTTATTGGAAAATCTGATAAAAAATTAGTACATGACGCATGTTAATCACTATTATAAGCATCCTCTATTATTGATACATACAAAATCTAATAACCAATAAATATGATAAAAATAAAATGTTCAGAAATTGTATACCTTGTACGGATATAGATTTAAATAATATACACTTGAAATATATGAGAAGTATACCGTACACTCTATACAATCATACTATGCTATACAGGTAGTTCGTAATTACTTTACAGTATTTGTTTGCTTTATTCCCTGCTTGCATACCTGCTCGGGTGTGAGGGATATATAAGGCCCAAATTTTTCTCGTGGCCACTAGTTCTACTGTTATTCTGGTGCGGGAAACATGGAGTTCTTAAAATCGCTCCTTGGCTTTAACACGAAGAAGGTGGACTTTATGTCAGAATTACCTCTAGAGATATCTCAAATAATACTCCGGAAGCTGGATCCTGAATCTCTCTTGATAGTACCGCAAGTTTCGTACGCATGGCACGAAGTATGTAGTTCTGATTGGTATTTGAGAAAAACAGCAAGGGACTATTTAAAACAGAAAAAAGAGGAAGAGGAACAGAAAGAAAAGGAGGATAAAATTTTGCGCTAGATATTTTTGGATATCTTATATGATATGAAATATAACATTTTTACTATACCAAAGGTATATACAATACATTTGTTTACGGCAAATTCAACTATGATAGTCGGTTAATAAAAGTAATTTTCTAACATTTTTACAAGTATTTATTAAACATAAGATATCTAAAAATTTGTTATAAAAAGAAAGAAGATTCAAACCACCTCATATCAACTTTTTCTACTATCTTACAGTAAAAAATATATAAATGATTAAATGCAATCTAAACGAAATTGTTTGTAAATATTCAATATAACTTCCACTAAATTATTATTAACTGTATACAGACTAATATTACATAACTCTCACATGAAATTTTTTACACGCATTCCTCATACATTTGATTCTCACTGTTTAATGTTACAAATAGCTTTTAGAAAAAAAATATGATATATGTTTGTTTGACGATTGGTTTAATCGGGAGTGTAAACTTCAGATGCTTTGATAAAAACTTCACACATTTACGTGTATATATATATATGCATATCAAGATATATTATAATTGTTATTATTACTAAATTTTTTGAAATTTGAAATAACTTTAAAAATTGAATAAAAAAAGGAAAGTTAATTTTTTGTTTTCAAACTCTCTTTTGAAAGTGTCATATATTGTAAATATTACAAGATAAATCGTAATAAAATATAAAATACTGCATGCGCGAAGTGATTAAAACGTTCGAGTTGAAAATTTAGATTCTAAATAATAAAGTTTAAGTGTAGTACATTTAACATTAGTTAAGAATATTGATACCTTTTAATCTCTTCTTCTGTTAACATGCATTCTATTAAATGAATGATATAATATTGACTGATGAATATTTTTTATATGTATGTGCTAATAATACACACATATATTTTTTTTATGAACACAATACAAAAATTTGTTAGAAACTTTTTCATTCCAATTTAAAAACATATAAACTACAATAAATATTAAAAATGCATGTTGACAGTTTTCAATCTTGTTTCAGTGAACCATTAATGAAAATTATAATTTCATAATGATGATGATGATGATGATGCTGATGATGATGATAACGACGACGACGACGACGACTACGACGACGACGACGACGACGGCGACGACGACGACGACGACGATCGTATTTTTTATAACGAAAACTATTTTGGTGAGGATAACGATAACGACAGAAATTGGAACAGAGGGAATAATCGACCAAGAGGAAATCGTAATTGTCCTATATGTATGATGCAGAATGCTCAGGTGCCGCTCCTGGTTTTCCAAAATTTATAATTATTGTAAGGAATCTAGTAAATTCAGTAGATTTGATTAAAAAAGTTAGTTGATAGGATTAGATTTAGATGCATTGGTTTAGATCGTAGTTTTTTATGAAAAATTTCAATTTCCAAAAATGTACAAGATATATATAATGTGTATTATTTACGTAACAATGCCTCCGAACGCCAGAAACTCTGGCACAATAAAAAACTAAACACGATAAAAAATGAGCGGTATGATCAACTTTATCAACGCATTCCTATTTTGTCCGCAATGGATATAATCTCGTTCAAAATGTGTCTGCACCACCAACATGGAAACCAATCGATTTAAAGCTTTAGCGCAAGCGCTAGAAAGGATGGCGTACGTTGCGCCCCTGCTTTTAGGCAAAGAGATTGATAAATTTCACCAAAACAAACCAGAGAGCATGGACAATAAGAATAAGTAGCCGTTAAAGATCCATCGTTCTTCGACATCATTCATCGGTAGCGATTTAACCGACATGAGTCCTGGACTTGGACACGACCCTCTCCCTTCGTACAACATCACCGCATTAGGTAAGGTCAAATACGTCTATTCGTTTTTTCTTGCATGTCGCGTTTTCTTATAATATGTAACCAGTAAGTTGTACAAGTCTTATGAAATGCAATTATTCTCCTATCATGTTCAGGTAATACGGCATTGTGTCTGTGGCAGCAACCGCAGCATATATTGTTTCAATTGGCGAATTTCTGCTTCGCGTTGTCGTATTCAGCACCTTCTTCGAAGAAAGGGATATTGTTCATGCATTCTGTCCTAATAATAGGTTAATAGATTTATACATTTTCCGGAAGAAATCAACGGAATTTCTCAAATCGAACAACTCGTTTATTAAACTTCGCAAATTTTGTCATTTCAGGATTCATGCTGTTGTCAGGCTGGGCATGGCACGTGATCTGCGCACCGGACATATTCTCTTGGAACTTCAGTTTCCTGGTATTGAACATCGGTCAACTGGTTTATATCGTTTATCAAATGAGACCGGTCCGATTCGACCCTGAATTGGAGGAAGCGTACCACACTCTTTTCTATCCATTCAAAGTGAGTACTTTAAAACGTTCGCGAACAGTCCTCAAAAATTTTGTATGCAGTTACTGTTACCGTCGTATAGAGAATGATAGTTAGTCGCGCGATTTCAATGCTTAATGATTCGCGCATCTGTAGATATAAGACGATTTTAACATTCGCTGGTTAATTAAAACGTCAGAAAAGTCTCCAAAGGGATTTTTGCAACAAAACAGCGATATAGATTGTCAGAATTGTTACGTGTAGAATCGACTTTTATAAGGAAGATTTTATCGTTGAAAACAGGTGTCTCGACTGCAGTTTAAGAGGCTAGTGTCCCCAGAATTCGCATCGATAATGTCGTTGCATGCAGGTGAAGCATACGCAATGCAAAATCTAACTCGCACAGACAGATTAGGGCTACTGCTTAGCGGCAAGGTAAACGTTCTCAGCGATTCGAATTTCCTGCATCCTATCCTGCCTTGCGAGTTCCTAGATTCGCCGGAATTCGAGAGCTCTCGGGCATCCGTGGATGACAAATTTAAGGTAAAAGTTTGATATCAGATTAATATTATCATTTGAAAAATTTACTATTTATCTGTCTATAGTAGTAATCTATCGCAATGTCGTAATAAATCGGAATTGGATAAAACGAAACAAAGAAAATAATTATAAAGTTCGAAAAGATGAATTTATTACATGAAGTTACAATAATTTACTTTTGCGTTCAGGTGTCGATTGTCGCCGCAAGCTCCTGCAGGTACTTATATTGGCAAAGATCCGCGCTGGAGTATCTTCTCGTGAAGGAAGCATATTTAGCCACAGTTTTAACAACGTTAGTTGCCAGAGACATTGCCACCAAATTGTACGCTATGAACAATAAGGTAATAACAATCTCTGGTGGTCATTAGTTCCGTTCTTTTGATATGGAGAATAACTACAGTCATTGGTAGTACAACGTTTATCGAATCCAAAGGATGATTAAAATTGCTCATTTGCGAATTTTTATGGAATTTTTATTAAACTTAAATAATTCTCGAATTAACGTATCGCCATAAGAATATAAAACGGCGTAGAAAACGTAGCCCGCGAATCGAAGATAACATTTTAATACGACGATATTAAGACGTTTGTAAGATTATTCTGCTCGATTAAAAACAAATGAACATCTTTTTCTTAGAATAACATCGGCTTAGATTGTTACAGATAAAGGATCACATTTGGATATAAGACTGCCAACTATCAGCGCGGGGTTAACGATAAATAGCGAATACAGGAGCCCGAGAGCATCTAGACAAGCATTGATTCGCAGGAAGGAATCGTCGATGTCTTCCGATAATGGTAATCTTTTCTACTCCAATTCCTATTCGATTTTAATATTTTATTCGTTTATTCAGTCAAGTATTGATCAAAATTAAGTTCATATTTTTATTTTATCGATATTCCTATAATTCTTTCTTAGGTGTTTCTAATCTGAAAGATCGTCAGGCGAACAATCTCTCGAAGAAAGGAGCGCCGAACATGGAACCTCTTCCAGAAATGCCTTCGTACGACGACTTGGCGTCCAGTGGTGTGGAGAGTTGGTTAGATTCGTCGAGCAAGTATCACAGTTGCGAGATCGTGGACGAGGAATAACAGGAGGCCTCCTTAACGCCGGACACATTTTACGAGGGTGATAGTGAATAGTGCTGCGTTAGGGAATTGCATAATAAATCAAACGAAGACTGCAGTGTTTTAACCGAACTTTATTCCAACGAACTAAGTGATAATGATAAAATAAGCCAGATCATTTCCAGTTGGTGGTTTCCTTTGACGAACGAGAAACTTCATAAACGAGAATCTACTCGCACAGTTTAGAAGAAATGTCGATTTTGATATAAGTTGTTATAATTGTAAGAATAGAATGTCGGTATACAAGTGTGCAACGCGTTTAATTCTGCGTTGATTTTTTTTTTCATTTATATATCATTTATAACATTTTAATTCTTTTCCTTTCTCTCTCGATTAAAAATATGATAAATATCGTAAAATAATTTTTTGTTAAAATGTTCGATTAATGTGTCAATTAAAAAACATTATGGTAGAGTAAACATGCAAACTATAAATACGATCTACGAAGACTTAATCAAATGGATAACTTTTAATATCTACTTTATTGAAACATAGATATTGATATACTAATTAAATATTTAAAAACTACTTAATGAAAAAAGTGTGTATTAGTGTGTGAAGTAGAATTGTTTTATTTTAAACGTAAAGAAAACATAAGTAAACGATAAATCGATATTCTGGTAGCCTAAGTCTAAGCAAAATGAACACCAAATGAGACAGTCGTAGCGCAAGACACACTCTAAGGAACGGAAATAGTGTTTAATCAAAGAATAAAATGAGCGTGGAAAGCTCAGGTGTAGTGTTCAAAAATTTACCTGAAGCACGTTTTTACACAATTTAGAAGCAGTTTAACACGCACAAGAAGCAATTTTATTCATTTTTAAAAGTAAATTTTCAACAAGCTTTTCCGCGTGGAGTTGTATATTTCAAATCGCGTGGATGTTGTAATTTTGAGAATCAATTTATTAAGCTACTACAAAAATAAATATTACTAATCGATATTACTAATTCGCAGCCTCGCTAGATCTATAATTCAGATGTCGTTAACGTAAATAGCAGAAAAATGCTGTCTAAATGCAAGTTTCGAGCGATAATTGTGTGAAAGTTCTTGTGCAACGAGGTATCCAGAAATTCTAATTAATATAACTATCACCGTTCTATCAATATGCATTGTAATGTTTAAATACACATTTTATATAAGTTTTAATTACTATTTTCCTGTCAATAAATATAATAAATAAAAACAAAAACTTGTACGGTTCATTAATCAATGTTCACTCCTCCATCTGCTGTTGATTTTTGCCTTTAATTAAAACATTGTAAACTCTGCGATGGATAATCATGCTGAAACAGGAATATTCGTGTTGAAATTAATTTTTAATTAACGAGATAGATCGAAGAATCTATTACATTATCACAACATTTTTAGGATATTTATAAACTATTAGAATTATATTATTTTTTTTTTAAATAAAATTTTGAGAATAGAACTGAATATTTGTATCTGTAATATAACTGAATATATGTAATATTTATATGGAAGATAATTACAATTAACGCATATTGAAATGTTCGACGTATTCATTTCACGATGTTTCTTATGGATTATACATATTCAACTCATTTCATTAATGGTCAATCCAACATTGCGATATACACTGGCGCACATAACTCGTAATTTTACTTTTGTACGATTTTCGTTTCATTTCCACGTTTGTTACCCAATAAACTAGTCTTGTTACCTGATTGTAACTTGCTTTAGGAACGTAAAATTTTACTTGTGATTTGTTCGATTCTCACGATATGAAGTAATCGTTCCATAATCTCCCATCCTTGATTTAACGAACATTATAAATTATTAGCTCTTTCAGTTTTAATAAAAATTTCATTTATCCAAAAATGTTGTATATTTCACAATATACAATATATACAATTTCTAAAAATTCGGAGTCGCTTAAGAACTTAATTCACATAGAATTTTTGTAAAAATATTCATTGTCATATCTAAAAAATAAACATTCGTTTCAATTCTATCGGAACAGACGAATACATTAAATAAATGTTATCAAAGAATGAATTTTTTAAATGACGATGAATCGATGTTAAGGAAGTTACGTGTTCAAAGCGTTATTCACGTGTCTGCAAGAAGTTATTCGCGTATAGTCTGAGACGATCAGATAGATTGACAAAAACGAATATAGGCTAGCAATTAACATTTGCTTTATTATCTTTTCCCTCTATCTTGACCGAAGGGCCATTATCTACTTTAATTCAAAGTGGCTCGAAATATAGCACGGATAGTCGAAACGGACCTTCAGCGGAAGAAGATTGATCTGATGGCGAAATACGACGGTCAAGTCATTCGTAAGTGTAATTACCAGCGGAGTTCACTGAAATAACCCAATTACAGTATCTACGATTTCATGAACGTCAGCGGAAAACTACCATTCTTCTGCTTGTAAAATGCAATTGGTCTGACATGCAAATCGACATTTCATTTTCCAGGATAATTTTATTGCTTTCTGTATAATAAAACACGATCAAATTAAGCGCAATACTAGTTACGATCACCCATTCAAAATAAAATTAATCGTACATTTCAATTACGTGGAATTAACATCGATGTGCTTGTGTGTAATTTTGGTATTACGTAAACACGTTCTGCGTGATAAATCGGTATAAAATGGTTATCTTGATTAAGGGCACCTGAATTAACAAAGACGATGAGCGTTGAAAATTATCACGACTTTTCAAGAGATAGATGATTTCACGGAATGAAGCGATAAGAACGACGAAGAATGTAGTCTATTTCTCTCAGACCTGTCTTGTAGTCAAAACCTTGCTTGACAATGTTCAGTGAACTTCGAACTATCAAATCTTTCGTAGTATTAAAACGTGAAAAAGCTCATTATGCATCGGATAATATCTAACGACAGTATTACGTCAGAAGCAATACATTCAATCCTTAAAATACAAAACATGATACGTATTATCCTGACTGTTTTAAAAAATAAAAGACACAAATTATGTCTGTTTGATACTAAAACTTAGACACATATTTTTGAAATTACGAATTTAAAAATGATTAAGAACAAGAAATTAAGTCATACGTGTTACGTATTTTTCATGAAATTACGAACGTTTCAAGATTCATATGCCAGCCACTGTTCCTCTATTCTCCTCATTTCCGATTCGCTGCAAAGTGTAACGACCACGGAAACGCTTCTACAAACGTGTTCTCGACTCTAATATCGAGCAATCGGAGCTTGATCGTTTGTGGTACGAAAATGCCGATTCGCGCCTTTGCTTATGCAATTGGGTTACAAAGGATGAGGAAAGTGTAACATTCCTGCCTCATGACGATGTCGATATATATATAATCCGTTTCTACCTACCTTCCTTTATTAAAAGATATTCAGCTTCGTGGATATTTCCCATTCTACAAATTGGTTTAATAATCTGATTCTTATTTTCATTCTTATTTTAGGTCTAAATCTAGCTCTAAATCTGAAAATTTCTAGCAAAATTGCGAGCCCAAATTTGACTAAAAATCATTCGTAGAAAATATTTTAAATTGCCGCAGCATATTGAAATTTTCAGCAGGAATAATAAGAGTGTGTTGGAAGAAAATGGAACACAAGGGAAAATGGTCGTGAAAGGATATAGACGGGAAGGTGGATCGAAAAGGGGTTAGCGCGAGGGAAAGTAGGATGAAGGTATACAAGTAAACAGTAACGAAGTGGTATGTAAGCATCGAGGAGCTGAAGGAAGTGTGCAAGATGCGCGCATATAAACGCATCCTTCACGCGTCCTTCTCGCAACGTTAAAGGTTATGTTCCTTGAAATGAGCAAGGAGGGTGCTCAGCAGGAGAAAAGTTAATGGGGTACATGTGAGAAAAGGTAACGTTGAATCAGAAAGTTACATAAAGATGGGAGAATTAAAATTCGAAAGTGATACGTACTGTGTGTAATAACACGTTAAAAGTAAAAGAGAAATTATTCAAAATAATCGAATAACAGCTAGTAAGAATAAAAGAATAAAATTCTTCCGAAGAAGATATCTTCTTATACATAATACGTAAATCTTCGATCGAGTACAAATTGTCCAAAAGATACTATATAAATATGGAATAAATATAAAATAAAAAATGTAATGAAATTAAGCGAACGAATTACTGATTTAATAACATCGATATTTCTGATAACATCGAATTAAATTTATTTTACACTCGACCCGGTCGAGGTAATAAACTATAAGAAGGGCAGCGACCCTGTAAAGTAATACCTGGAAATAACGCGTTATAATGTACGATGGAGGAATCTAGAAGATGGATAAGAGTACAGAAAGTTAGGAAGAAAGGCGGTATTGAAAAATACGTTTGGCCAAAGTAAGTGGTAAAAACGGAAGGAGGGTAAGGTCCAGCGAGAACGGGGTACAAGACACCTAAGTAAATAGGAAGTAAAAAAAACAAGAAGAACGGAGACAAAGAGAGCGTAGCGCGGAAGAGGGCAAGGGTGAACTACTAAGGGAACGAGCTATCAGTTGGAAGCGACTAAGGCTAAAGGGGAATACAGGAGGGAAGTATTGTGGTGAAAGAGAAATGTTCGGTCGTAGTCGTGGCGGGGGTGCGAACCGAAGTTCGTGGGAAGTTGGCGAGATGATAGTGGCGGGTGCTGCCACCTGCGTGGAGGGCGTGGCGCTAGTTTTATCGGAGTTTAGTCTAACGAGAGCTTTGGCACGCGTCGCACAAGTCGGAAGCAGCACTCGTGTCGCTTTAGTCAGCCGCGTGAGAGCGAGAGAGTGACAGAGAGGGCGTGAGAGCGCGAGAGGCGAACGACGGAGAGGGAAGAGCGAGAGGCACGTTAACGGTGAGCGTGAGCGAGACAGAGAAAGGATAACGGTAGAACGTCGAGAGGACCAAGTGGAATACAAGCGAGAAAAAGATAGATCGGGAGAGAGTGGGCTAGGTACGGTAGCAAGTAGTGAGATGGGTGTATGCGTGTAGCGGAGAAGAGCAGATCGACGGCGACGACGACGAAGAGAGAGAAACGATGTCGTGAAGATGAATGAACGAGCATTCGGACGCAGTTGATGTTACGACGATGGGGAAGGTTCCCAAGTGGAGAACGCGGTATGTATCGGCGCCGCCAGAACGAAGGACAGCAGATCTAAAATCGCGGTGCTGATCGTGCAGACGAGGAGCATAGCGGCGGCAGTGACCATGGCGCCCCTGCTCGCATGTAAACAGTGCTTCATGCTCGACGCACGCTTCGAGAGTAACGTTACTGGTGTCAGCAGCATTTTTCTCATCGAGAGTAAACGTAGCTACAGTCGTCGTCATCGTCGTCGTCGTCATCGTTGTTCCCCAAGTTCTCGTCGGTTCCCCCGAGTTCGATGAACAGCCATCATCGAAGTTGCAACGTCGTCGTCGTCGAGAATATCGCGGACGTCCCCGAGGCAAGACGGTATGGATGGTAGAGACGAGTCATGATCCTCGTCCTGCCACGTCGCCGTTGTCCTCGTCCTCGTCCTCGCCGTCGCCGTGGTGGTCGCCGTCGCCGCCGCCGCGCGAAACCGTGTTCCGGCCGTTTGTGTTTGTTGATTCGTCGTCGATGCGTCGAACGTGTGTGCGCGTGCAAGACGCTGAGCCAAACCTTCGAGCGACGGTCAAACGTGATTGATGCGTCACGCATTCAACTGCTATCTAACAAGTGGTAACGAGCCCGAGAAGCGAGTACGTTAGTGTTTATCCTTGTGAATCTTATAAAATTTTTACTTTTTTTCCCTCGTTGTTACGTCCTTCTCTTACCTCGTCTATATCTTTTACGCGAACTCGATCAGGTTTTAGTTGTTCCTTTTGTATCATCGACAGATAATCGAACGGTGGTCAGAGTATAAAGAGAGAGCACATGTAACCTGAGCGAACGTGCACCGCGAGAGCAGCGTGAATGCGGCGTTGTAACGAGTCTTGATGATTTTCGTCGTAGTATGTAGAATTATGCCTGAGATGTCAGAGATGTGTTCCGCACGCGTTTAAAATTCATCTTAACTTCCGTATTCTCCGAAGCGTTTTTCGTGCAAAAAAATTGTATCGTGATCTTTTATCATGGAAATTGAAATTGATTTGACACGCGTCAGTGCAAAGATAGTCTGTTGCATCAGTAGTAAGTGATACTTGTACCCGTCAACGTATACCTTCCTGAAAACTCGTGTTAAGGTTATTTGCAGCTAATAACTGTGTACCGCATCGATTTTCGAGAGAAACGTTTTTGTAAACGGTCTTAAACTTATTCGAGTACAGCGTCTCTGTGTTGTGACAGATAAAATGGAGCATTGTTATTAATTCTGAAGCGTTATAGTATTACGACTTTACGCGATCGTGACTTTGTTAGAATTGAGGTTATTTTCTTAAAAACGATCAATTTATTCGTTAACGTGTATCTTGCAAAATCTATCGACGACTTTTTTAAAATTTCGGTTTGATTCTAGAAATCTAATCTATATAACGTTTTTCTACCGTACGTTATCTCCTTCTTGCTTTTGATTAAGAACCACCCGGTAAAGTTAACGCGGAGAGGGAAGCTGCAACGTGTATCGCAAATCTGTCTCGTTTCTTTTCTTTTTCCCACGTTTCTTATTCGTGAGAAGTTTCATTAATACGAATTTCATTTATTCAACTTCTTTTTCTATAAGCGTTGAGCTAATTTCGGAAATTTGTTACATCGTTGGCGGTGCTGGGCCTTTTTTACACGAGTTTCTATGTATCGTGAAGCTCTATACGCGTTGTTCGGAAGTTCGATAGTCGAATCGAATGGACAGGTGGCTCTGTGCAAATCTTTCACGGATTCCTCGGTGTGATTTCGATCTCTTTATTCTATTCGACGTTCCATCAATTGTCTTTTCTTCTGCTTTCGCTCGGTAAGAATTTCGAACGACTAATTTTGCCATTTTTGTCAGCTTCAATTTAAATTCGTATTATTAGTTATGCGACGTAAAAGAAATAAAGATCGTCATGTTACAGTTTAAAATACTATGGATCTTGTTTCTTTTGCGATAAGCTTTTGCTTACCACACGTTCGATGATAAATTTTCAGGAATTGCGATTAATTCGCTGATATCGATGCCAGAGGGCAGCATTTAGTTTTGTCAAATAATCATTGTTTACAAAGTCAAATGTAATTATTGACGATTAAAAACGAAGTACTCTCGCTAAATGACTGTTGTTTATGAGTAGATTATCGGAAACGTGATGTTATCGTTTTGGCGAATACTTGTAAAAATTGTAATTCGATATATATTTTAACGAAGAGATATTCAAGCGGTAATTTTTTGATTTAGTTAATTTATCGTAACGTTAAAAGTACGAAAGAGTAAATATCCATTTGCTGGAAATACGTATTCATACGCCAAAATTTATTTATTTAAATCATTACTCTGTAAACAAATTTGTGAATGTCATTGAAACGTGCATAAAGATACGTGCAAAATTGTGATTAACGAAATTGTACGGATTTTTTTTTTATAAAAATGCGTAAAATGGAGTGTTCTCTTTTAAAGTTTGCATATTAAAATTTTGATCTTGAAACCGGCGATAAGAGAATGCACACGATATCAGCGCATTGCCGAAGATTTATCTTCGAAGAATTAGGCGGCCTGGTTTCCGATCGGAAAACATAAATCTCGAAAGCTGGCTGGTCGATCGCGTTTGATAAAAGTTCTGGTCGCTAGACTTGCTGAGATTCGTGATCAAAGTTGAGAGTTTCAGCCGAAATTGTTAGCTTTCAACCTTTTCTTCCATGTCGATCTTCAGAAACTTTCTGGACGCTAGTTACTTTCGACTCTATCTGTCGAGTTGTTTTTCGTTGCAAGGAGAATCGATACGTCTCTAGTCTCGACGCATCTTTCCAACTGTCCGGAAGCTGGAGACATTTCGTGAAACATGTAGAAAATTATAGGAACTTCGCTGAACGATGTTTTGTCCCGAGATGAGACAGACATTAAAATGCGTTTGCACAAAAACGTTTCGATAACTGAGGTTACATTTGATACACAATCTCTTTCGAAACATTGCCAGAATGGAGTTAACGATCCAATTCAGTATAACTGAATAAATATTGCTATCTGTTATCATGAGTTTTTAGAACGTGGGAATTCGTTCAGCGCTGTCTTAAAAGCTTCAGCTTTGTTCTACGCTTTGTGAAAAAGATAACAATAAGCAACGAATGAATAGACAAATACAATATTAAATATACTTTAAAGCTGCAGTATTAAAATTCAAATTGAAACATTTATTTAAAATTTAAATACGAATGTTTTTCAAACGCGTCACCGATATGAATCAAAAGTTCAATTCTGGATTAACCTAGATCTAAATTAGACTCTACAACTTTTTCAAATATCAGTGGATCATCTACGTGAATCTACGATCTCAAAGAAACCCTCAAGTATAAATAAGCGCCAACGATCGAAAACTTTAGTAGATCCACCAGCCCTTGATACGAAACTACGTAAATATCTAGTTACCAGTAACCGATGTATCACGCTACTGGTATTTGATATTTACTCCAACCCCTATGTTCCACTACAATAAATATAATAAATGTGTTTTGTAATCACGGTCCACTTTGAAGACTAATTGTAAACTACCAAGTTAATCTGGTAAAATCAAATATCGGAAGCATGATTGTCATTTCAAGCATCGATGTGTTCGTACCGCTAAAAGAAATTATAGAACACGTAGAATTACTGTTAATTTCGAGTTGAATTGTTCTTTGGCGAACCGCTGGATAATATGTAATTAACCACTGATTGTCGTGTGATGTTTCAGACGAATTCACGGGCCGTTCGTGTTGCGAAACGAGCCGCGATATCCAGTGACTCGTACGCCGATGAGAGAAAGGACGCGGTTCGCGCGAGTGTTAGCACGCGAACGATCGATTACAGGGCTCGATCGGACATCGTGACTCTGTCTGGTCGTTCGGTGGTGAGGCAAGTCGATGGCAATGGTGTTGCACGAAGTGATGACCTTCTGCGTGGCCGAATTCGGAAGAAGCTCATCTCTGTGTTGCCCCTTACTATTGACGCATACGTACAGAAGACTGAGGTGTATCATTCCGCACTCCAAACAACATATCGCTTATCCACCATAAGGTAAGGAAATGTTTTTTCTACGAAGACCATAAGATATGAAATCGATAGAAAAATAAAAGTATAATTATTATGATAGTTACTTTTGAAATATACAGGTTTGATTGATTTTAGTTCTTTTATTTTAGCTGTTGTTGGAACGTTTTACTCTTTCTAAAATTCCAGTACGATCAAACCTGGATATCGCTATCAATGATCTAAGTTTATGTACCATCGATATGTTCATTCGTCGTTGAACGAATTTCCGTTAAAAATTGCCTGTTCTGAAAATAGATTATCTCTTGGAAAATTATACGATCTCGTAAAAAAGAAGGGCTTTTGTAATCAACGTCATACGCTTTTGAATGTGAATGATATTAACGTCGAACTCGAGTATTCAGCTTTATGAATAATTTTTTATTCACCTTGATCGGATATATGATAGAACTTTTAAATATATTTGCATAATTCGAACAGGAAGATATTGTTTTGTAAAGTTTCTCATACATATGGCTCGAACGTATTTTATTTATTCGTCAAGTGGTTTATACGACGTGTTCCTCCGTATTATTTCTTAAACCGTTTTATAAAAGCTCAGAAGTATAAGTCGTAGAAATTTTTGCATGACGGAACTCTGGTACATTTAAGCAATAATTCTTACACAAATTATCTCCTAATACCATTCATTCTAATTGAAGGGAAACAAGCACGGATTTAAAGATTTTATATAAACTACAAAATACTATAATTCAATTATTATATCACAGTTTCAACATCATAATTTACCTTCTTATAAAATTTATCTACCATTTGTCGTATCAAAATAGGAAATTTCTTCAATCACATGAAATATAGAAGTAATTCGATTATTGTCCATGTCCAATTAATCATGCTTCATCGTCGTACGCGGAATTCGAAAATTATAGATTAAATTTCCTTCGTTTCTGGTGACGTGCGAAATCAGCTTTAAACACGATCGATGTATGACCGATCTATACACGAGACCTGTACATTATATTATTTATCAAAGTTTAATGAAATTCACTGCGCAGAATCGATTGCAACGAAATTTCGCGCACGAGTATACATATAATACACGTTGGATCAACGTATCGTCGTGCGATGTGTTCGAAAACAAACATGCAGCCACGGCGTGCAGAAAGGATGAGCTTCTCTTTCATTTGAGCTTGGCGTCGCTTGATTTGTATTTAAATTTATTCGAGGCTGTTTAACGCGTTCCAGAAACGCATCGCGTCGTAACTCGCATCGCTTTCGAAACTTCCATCGCTTTCGAAACGATACATCGTATCTCTGCAAGCGGTAGAAAATTCGAGGCCACGGGTTAGTCATTAAAAAATTAATTGCGGCATGCGATCTTAACGTATTACCATTTACCTGTTGCGCGTTCGTGACGACGTGTAAAAAGACGCGGTACGATCGAGTCTCGTGAACTGTCTGGTATTACACGGGGGTGGAAACAAACCTGCGATAGAATCGATTGCGATACTTGGTTCTTCTATGAGAAAGTTATCCGGGTTGATCCTATTGTGGACAGTTAATTATAACAGTTTTCGGTTAAGCTTCCACAATATCAATTGTATCATAGTTTCGTCTTTACTCGTGTCCAACAAAAGTTTTCTCATCTTTTCCTTGCCTTTCTTCGTGTAGCGATTCGCATTAGACGAACTAATATTATATCGGACAGAGAACAAAGCTCACAAGCAGACGTGTCTAAAAGAAGTCTCGTAGGTCGGCCAATCGAACGATATTTGTTAATCGTTGCAACGCCATTACGGGACAAACAACGCAGTTTACTTGGTTAACATCGTTTGCGCGGAAGTAATGTTTGCTTTCGTCAGCGACCCTTGCTTTAAACGAGATTATAGGCCGCAAAGGCGAGCTTTTATTTTTATCTCTATTCACTCCGCAGATCGTGATCTGGCTAATAAGCGTTTTCCGGATGCTATTCTAACCCTTTCTTGTGTACACACTAAAAAGCCGTGACATTTTCCCCCCAATCGCCAATCGCCTTTTTACGAACTTCTACGCGTCATATTCACAGGGCCAAATTTCCCTATTCATATCGAGGTACTACCAATTAATATTTAAGTTAAATTATGTTTGGACTTAATTAATCAGTGTACTAAATGCTACAATAAATACAATGGCGATACTTTTTGTGGCCATTCTTTTTACTTCGCTTATTATGTTTCGTAAAATAGTTGTAGCTATATAATGTTGTTAACGATCTAAAGTCATTAACAGTGTCTCATAGGCAACATATTGCGCAACAGAATTACCACCGAATAATTACTGCGCGTGACATTTGCATATACACGGCACTCGGTTCGTAGTTATTTTCGTTATTGTTCGTAGAATGTAATGTTTCTAAACAGTCGGTTTCCACTAGAATTGCATGTTTCCAACCCGCCATACATCGCGCTCGACGACACGTGATTAGCAGCTAGCGCTTCCTAATAGAGAGTTTTAATCGCCGTTTGTGTCTATTCTGTTAATGCCGTTAATTATTCTATCGTGACGAACAAAATCGTTTTTCCCCTTGATCGTATAGTAGCTTTTTCCGTGGAAATAGAAATAAACATCTCGAGAACTTTTAATCACGGATTGTATTTTATAACTTGGTTTATGTATATGTTGTGTTGATACAAATTATCATAGACACATAATTAATAGTTAGATAATCGATTAGACGTTTTTCCTTCTTGTTTCACGCGACAATAATTATTTTCACAAATTGCAACTTGTTTCTCGTTAACCTTTTCTTCGTGAACGAAAGTCTACCTCTGTAGTGGTTTCTGTAAAGCGAATATTCGGTATAGAAAAGTGGTTTAATGCGATCGACGGCATAACGAGCTTGTCAGCAAGCTAGAAAGATCGTGCGTTAATTGTTATCGAGTATTAATTAATTCTTTCGAGTAAACGTCATTTTTTTATCTTCGTTAAGGTTTAACGAGGAAAAAAATATGCCGATAACTGTTATATCAAGTAAAAAGTTGAAAGATTCGAAATTTCCTTCTCAACACAGTTTTGTTAGATTTTAACCAGTATTAATTTCACAAAATATCAATTTTATTTTGCGAATTGTTATTTGCGTTTTATATTAAATACTTATAAGTTCAAGTAAGTAGTCGTTCGTTTAATTCGGGTCTGCTTTCGGTTTCAATCGGTTACAAAGATCGACAAAGGGAAGACCTGAAAGTTTGCTTGCCAAAGGACATTGTAGTTTTGTAGAAGAACATTAGTCTCGTTTAATTACTTTTACTTTTCGCCTAGTCCCTCAAAGAGTTGGCAGAATATCAAAAACTCTTTGCCCCTTTGGTTCCTACATCGTTCCATCATTTGCATTCTATTTGCCTTTCTTTTTGCATCGACGAAACGTCTTGTTCCTGCATATGGATCGTACAACTTGATAATGCTATATATCGCTTTCAGTTTACATATATAATCACAGCATATCGGGTTAATCGAAACATTTGTTCGAGGAGACGCTGGTTTTCGATGGAAATTTGACCGAATCCGAATCACGAACTAACGAGCAATCTGGACAAACGAGGCTAATTCATGCGGCCAACTGTCGTGAAAACTCGAGGCACGAGCGTTCTAGAAACGACCGTGTATCTATACGCGTTCTCCAGTGAAGCTTAAATACTCGCAACCTACGTGAAAGCTTCAACCTCGTCAATGAAATGGAGATATAATGGAACGAATTGGGATGGAACGAGGTGACGTGTATTTCGCGAGTATACTCGCACTTTACGCTTGGGCCTGTGTTCTCTTTTATATTTGAAATGCAGGACGACAAACAGAGCTGTGGCATTTTTGTTCATTTCATCGAAACGTTATGAGAAAATCGAGCGTTCATTGGGTATTTCAATGAACATACGAACCACAACTGCGGAGAGCCATCGTTTTTTCTCCATTTTTATTTCCTATTTGGTTTCGGGGGATTAGGAGATTCTCAACCGAAACCTAACACTTTTTGCTCGATTGGTTTATGGTTTCGCATTGGAGGTTCGCGGTATGTTTGACTGTGAATAAAGCGAACCGTCGAAGTGGATTGGATTTATATTGTTATGGGAACGTTTTACGTTTGACGAATATATGATATAACTTCTTGATGTCTTTTAATGCTTTTTATTGCTGTTCGTGGTTTGAATCGTAATCGTTGGATGTGTAAATTTTATTTGTTCCAGGGAAATAATTTTTAAGCGATTTGCATCGAGCGTCGTATGATATTTTTATTCTTAATTTGCATATTCATTCTCAGCTCCACGGTTACGATGCTCCTCTTTTTGTATTTTATAAAGATGTTCATTGATTTTCTTGTAGTCTCGTTTTCGTATAGTCGGATATTCCCTACGTCTTTGAAGTTTCATCGCCAAACGGAATTCTCTTTTTTCATCGCGAGTAAAGTTTCTCGTGTTAAAGGGGATGTTTTTGCATGATCTCGTTCCTTCGTCTTCTGAGACGTTATCACAATGCATGGCATGGACCTCTGTTTGCCTTTTGACGTTACCTCGTTTTATTGTTGGACGGTCTTGGAATTTTTATGGTTTAAAGAGGAACTTCCCGCCACTATGCATGTTCCGCGTTTTATCGTCGACGGTTCTCCCGATAGCTAAAACGTGACAAACTACAAACACAATGGAAAATATTTTATCCCTTTCTTCATCGATATCTTCCATCGTGAAAATTTTCCTTCATTGAATTTTTTCAATTGAATTTTTCATAAACAACACGTGTACCATAGTATTGTAGCGTAGTATGTATTGTAGCGTAGTATTGTAGCGTATGTGTAGCATAGTATTCGAATGAAAGATTATTAATTGATTTCTGAGAGACGAAGTCCTCGTGTGTATACACGTATGTGTATGAGTGTGTGTATTTGACATTCTTTCTATAAACTCGGGCTACAACTTTTTCAACAACCTGCATAATCCGAAGAAACTTGGCAAGACAATGTTTAATCTGCGATGCATTATTAAGAATCGATCCGCGTCATA